ATGTTATTTGCATGATGTTTAAAAATGCATTATATGTTATATATATATATATATATATATATAACATATATTAAAGGAACTCACATGTAATAAAATAAACAAAAATATGTAAAATAATATCTTAAATCATAGTTTTTTATTATCTCATAATTAAGACTAGAGTTGAAAAGTAGACATTAATTTTTGAAAGTGAACACTTACTTTGGGACAAAATATATAGAAACATGGACACTTATTTTGAGACGGACGGAGTATTTGTTTTTGTTATTTGTAGACATCGTTCGTCTTCTAAGAATGAATTATTCTTTACAGTAATTTATATGTATTAATAATCGGTTAATATCTTATCATATTATTTATAGACTAAGTTTATATTTACCACATTTTTTGTATATATAATTAGTTACCGTGCGATTTAGACGTACACTTATTTATTTTTTAATAAAAATCGATAGAGACATCATCCTTTTTTTAAAAAGAAATAAACTTCATTATCAATCAGACAAACAATGCATAAGTTATCCACACCCCTGTTGTTACTGTTACTCATTTTATTTAATTTTACAACTTTTTTCTTAAACAATTTTTCTCTCTCTCTCTCTCTCTCTATATATATATATATATATCAAAAATTTACTAATTAGATTTTATTAGTTTTTTTTTTCGAATTATTTGAATATATTTGTTGATGATTCTATTAACAACTAACATATATTTATATAGACAATCTTTGGATCATTAACCAAAGTACTCATGTTACCGTGGAACGCACGATTCCTACACTAGTTAAATAACAAAAGAAAAAGAAAACCAATTACAGCTCATCTTGAAGTCGGCTTTTTAGAGCAGAAAGCGGTGCGCGTTTTGTGTGAGTGGACACGTCAGCAAATGCTCGCACATGATGAAAGAACAAAAAACCTGAAAAATAGAGATATAAGATACCTTCATCTTTACCCCCCCTCTCTCTCCCGGAATTCTTTTACCAAACACAAACGAATCCAATCGGATTCATCATCATTTTTGCTTTTCCCTTTCTATATATCTGCAAATCGAAGTTGCTACTGTCTTATATCTGCCATTGTTGAGGAATTTCTGTAAGTATCCTATGCTGTCTCTTTCATGATGTTGCTGTGTTTTTGGGTTTAGTTTTTCTTATGCATTTCGTAGTCGAATCGATCTTTTTGCTAAAGTTCGTTTCTTGATCATCCACATTCTTCTCCAAGATAGGTTTTCCTTACATATATCTATGTTTCCTCTATGTTTGGATCGTTGAAAAGGATCATTTATTTGTAAATTTTCATGTAAAGATGCTTGATTCTGATGTTCATTGTATATATACATATATATTTTCTATATAATCGATTGGTTCGTGATGTTTGATTGTTGTGTGTGTGCTATTTTTGGTGTGTTAGGATTTTATTGAATATGTTATGACGGAATACGTAAAGGTGGAACTGGAAGAGCTTAATTTTTGTTGTTAGGGCAGGCTTGAACGGTGTATATCTGGATTTTTGAAGCGACTAAGAAAATGTCTGCCGTTAAGGGCGAGCATCATACGATCCCGTTATCTGTGTTGTTGAAGCGTGAACTGGCGAGTGAGAAGACTGAGAGACCGGAAATTACTAGTGGTCAAGCTAACCAGTCCAAGAAAGGGGAGGACCTCACGTTGCTTAAAAGTGAATGCCAACGAGTCTTAGGCGATGGTGTGACTACCTATTCTGTCTTTGGGGTTTGTTATCTCGACTGCTCCTCTCTTTTACTGTTTGAGCATAAAACTTGGTGCTTTTGATCATGATCATCACAGCTCGTTAGTTGCTCTTTTCCTCCAGTTTGTGTAGCATGCATAGCATAGCTGCATACTTGCTTTGCACCACAAGATGATGGGTTTTTTATGACTTAGAAGACAAAAAAGATGGCCATGGGGATGAGGGTCCCTTTCTGTCTCAAATTTTCATTACCTGTATGCATTGCATAAGATGGTGAATTTCATTTGAAGCGAGTTGAGAAAACTTGAAGGAGAGTTGTCTCGGCCTAGTGCACCCTGGGTGGTGCGGCTGAGCCAGAGTGGGCTCAGCAGTCGGCCTAGATGGAAAGATAACTAAATATATAAGGGTCTTAAAGATATATTGTCAATGGCCTCCAGTTCTGCTCCCCTATAGTTCTCTTACCAAACCTTACTTTGCAGATATTTGATGGCCATAATGGTTCTGCAGCAGCTATATATACTAAGGAGAACCTTTTAAACAATGTCTTGGGAGCAATTCCCGCAGACCTTAACCGTGACGAATGGATAGCGGTGCTGCCTCGGGCTTTGGTGGCAGGATTTGTAAAAACGGATAAAGATTTCCAAGAAAAAGGTATTCATAGCTTTCTTTCTAGATTTCTTTACAAATCAACATATGCTGGATGGCCTACTGTCATAATGCATATAGAGACTTCAAACTTCACAAAGTAGGTCCACAGGGGTTTTAAGGAGGAACTTTTCTTTAGCTGTTTCTGGGATTTCTATCTTGAATGCATTATGCATGTAGGGCAGACTTACTAAGCAGCTTCAGTCATGTAAAAGTTGTAATCACTTGAAAGTGTAGTCTCAGTAGTTACCCGCCAGACTATAGTGGGTTGCCCGATTGGGACTTGGGCTAAATATTCTAATTAGGAAATGACGTTTCACTTGGCTTAGAGAAGGTAAGGCTATATTCCCCTTCCACCTCTGTGAACCTGTAATGGTTCAATCTTTTGTACCTCACCATTTTTTTGTTTAGGTTGTCTGATGTTAAATACATTTAGGAGATCTCTTTGAGGAATGTTCTCATTCCAGTAATATAGTCACTACTAAGTCATTTGTGTTGTAGGGAATTTTGGTAAATTTGAGGCTGGCTACCATGTGTCTGTTAATTACACATATAAATCTGTTGGCATATAATCTTTGGGATAATAGAATGGAATCTCAATGCACTTCTTATATTTGGTGTTTTGATCCTCATCTGGAAAATTTAGGCTTCTAACGCCCATGTACTGAACCATGTACACGCAAAAACCTGACTCTTGTTATGGCAAACAATTGTAACCCCCTTTCCTTTCATGATTGTAGACTCCTATGCCCCATGCATCCATGACCAAATCCTTGTTTAGCTGTTTTCTTCTCTCTCAGAATTTGAATGGTGGATCTTCATTCTTCTTTTAATATATATACTCTCAAAGTTTGATTTTTGAATTCGTGTAAACATAAGTGGGCTGTATTAGACATAAAAAAAGATAAATATTTCCCAATTGTAAAATTCATATCATGGAAGCTAATTATTTCCGTCCCGATCATGTGTTATGAACCACCAAAGCGGATCAGATGTAAAATACAAAAAAGGTTGCTGAAAAATTTCATAGCAATCGTTCTTTAAAGGCAATGTATCACCCTTAGTAAGTCATGGGACTCAAGACCCTTCGTAAGTCATGGACTCGAGACCAGCACAGTATGACCGTCTTTTATGAGCAGCTTAGTCGGGTATCACATGGTTTAGGCTGATGATTACTTACCTCTAGAGCGTTATTGTATTAAGCCTATTTCCTTTCTTCCCCATCCCATCTTTATAATGGTAAAACAAATACACGAAAAGCAGAAACCGATTTTATAGAAGGAAATCTAATTGCTGTGACTAAATATGTAAATGTGTTTGGTTATAGCAAAAGAATGAAGGGAATTAGAGAAAATGTTTTACTCATAGAGAGAGGTTGATAGTTTCTCAGATAACTCTTTCAGGAGAGAGCATGTGAATATACATCACTGAAGAATATGTATGTATACACAAACATATGTATATACACATATGTACATATCTATAGATGCATATATTTGTGAGTATATGCCTGCGTACTTGCAACCTGGGGCATTTGTGGTCAGTAGGTTTGAAGAGAGCACAACCTTTTTATGCAGTACATGCAAAATAAACATGTGCTATAGTGAGATTGACTGAAAATGGTATAATACAAAATTGATACTCTTTGGCCTCACAATATTGCTACAATTTTTATTTTTGGTTGCTCATATTAATTTTGACATTTTCCTTTCTTCCATAAATTTGAAATTGTAAACTTACTTTTTTGATGTCATAATCTTTATCACAGAAGTTACCGATAGTTTAGGTCTATAAGATTTTGCTATAAATACTTGGTTATTGGTCAAATCCTTCTATTGATATGTTTGTGGGATCAAAAGTTGCACTTTTTATGGCACAGCACAAGTTTGGTTTTTGTTTTATTCGTGAATCTTAAATTACTCTTTTATATGAATTTTTGTTGCAAAATTGGAAAATTAAGTTAAATGCTTTGCTATTATGTAGGAATGGTAGGTCCTGGCATTGTCAATTAACCATAATCTGGTTTTGGCACTGCTTGGATGTTATCAAGAGGTTGGTTCTTTTCATTCCACGTCCCCTATACGCATGCCTGGTTGATTTCTTAACAAACGTCAAATATAACATAACTTTGTTACTTTGCCCTAATTTAGAAGCTTTAAGTCTCATCTTTGTAAATTGGAGTAGCTTACTGGTTCACTCGTCTGCCTTTTCTCCCTGATCAAAATGGTGCAAACGAGATTTTTGTTTGTGCTCTCTATTTGACAAATTAAACTTAACCAAACTACGGTTTCTTCCATTTCTTGGGGTTACGTTATTCTCACAGCAACTATTATCTGCCGTGTGCCTTGTTTTGGCACACCATGCCGTAAACGTGAACTTGGTGCAAAAGTAATTGTAGCATTGACCCACTCTTGGCATCTGCTTTTACCAAATCTTATTTTGTTGTTTATGATTCTCTAAAAGCATGTGGACATGTGGACATGTGCATATGTTTGCTTACATGTGGATATGTCTTCAATTATAAAATTTTGTACTTACGAATGGTTATGATTTCAGTTCAAACATCTGGAACAACTGTCACCCTTGCAATTATTGAAGGGTCGGTCATAACTGTAGCTTCTGTTGGTGATTCACGATGCATACTTGAGTCTGCCGATGGGGGATTGTATTATCTGTCAGCAGATCACAGGCTTGAATGCAGCGAAGAAGAGTAGGTTAACGGATCTTATATGACACATTCCATTTGAGTCAATTTTGGATTCAATATATAACCTTGTACACACATTTATATTATGATCTTCTTACCTTCTATTTCTTGTTTTGTTATTTGCAGGAGGGAGCGAGTCACTGCAAGTGGCGGTGAGGTTGGTCGGCTTAATGCTGGTGGTGGCACGCAGGTATGTTGTTTCTAGTTATGCTCCTTTACTGAACCAGTTACGGGTTTAATCCTTTCTCTTTTAAAGTAACGTCATGATGCCTAAGATATTTATTAATATCATATGAATTAAAAAAGTCAGACTACATGTATCTCCCACTCTTTTGTATTGTTGGTTATTGAACAACCAAATAATTTTGAAAAATGCTTGGTCCTAAAAATGAAGTTATGACTTATGATTTGGATAAAATTCTTTTATACCTAGTTCCAAGAGATGTTTTAAGATAATAAAATATTTCTATACCTCTATGCTCTATGTGAAATTTCAAATCAGTTTTCTATCATTGTCTTACTAGCATGAAAAAACCATCAAGAGTGCATAGAAGTAAAGAGTGTCGGATAACAAAGATAAAAATTGTAGTGCATACTAAGTACTAATTACAAGGACCAAGAGGGGCTATTGGGTTCATGGATGATATTGATGCTTTTAAGCTCGGCCAACCACTTTGAGTGCTGCAAATTGGTCGGATACCAAAGATTAAAATTGTAGTGCATACTAATTACTAATTACAAGGACCAAGAAGGGCTATGGGGTTCATGGATGATATTGAAGCTTTGAAGCTTGGCCAACCACTTGAGTGCTGCAAATTGGTCAAACCTGACTTTACATGAAGCTTTATAAATTTCCATTTCAAATGTTAGGATTTTCCATGTTTTTGCATCTATATGTTAGGATCAAAGCAAACACTATAGCTACCAAGACAATGAAGAGTTGACTTAAAAGGAGGAAGTTGATCATTCCTAATTACAACTATGAAAACCAAATCAAAACTACCCATTATATCCCACTTGGAAATAGGGTATGCGGGAGTAGGATGTATGCAAACGTTCTTTTTGCGAAAACCCTAGAAGTGGAGAGGCTATTTTTGCGAAAATCCACAAATTGAGAAAGAGTTGGCATTGATTTGTCTCTTATAGGACTTCCAGTTATCATTAAAGTAAAGTTATAGAACTAACTTCTCAAATTGTTGTGGCAATATCACAAAGATATGCAATGTGAATCACTAAGACTTGTGAATGTGAATGTGTAAAAGAAAATATTATCATTAAAGCTCAAGATAGACTTAATGTGCATGATTGAAGTGCGAAGGTGGGGACAGTTTTTTGTTTTTTTTTTAATATCCAAGTTTTCTAAATGAAAACTAGATCTTATATGTTGCTTTCCCATGAAAAATTGAAACATTTTTTTTGTTAAGAAAGAAATGAGTAGCTGGTTGGGTTATATCAAGAGTTGGCATAGGCTCATTGCCTGTTTCAATGATGGTCATGAAAGAATTGTGAACCAACATTAATGTGGTTGCCCAGCTTGAAGTGGTTAGGGCAATGTTTTCTTTTCTTTTGAACTCTGTTCTCTCACCCTCTATTTTTAATTAAAATCCTCACTTCTAACCAAACTCTCATTTACATTTTTCCGCTCAACACAATGAGATTTCTCAACCGTATGACTTATTTCCCCCACTCTTTTATTTAAGACCCATCGCCTCTCAATCACTCAAGGATTACTTCTTGGGTAGAACTACAGTTCTGGTAGCTCATTGAAGCACAATTAATCTCACACATTGATTTTTTGAAATACATCCTAAAAATTCAAAGATATTATACTTTGAAAAGTTTCACAAATCAATATTTGAAGTACGAGTCCTTAATTGATATGCTCAGAAATCAAACAAATGTAGCAAGGTTCTAAACTGAAGTGTTTAGAAGCTAAAACAAATATAGAATAGGCGTCCAAAAGCTAATATGTAGAGCATGTCCTGAACTGAGGTGTTCAAAAACTAATTAATGAAGGTATGTTTAGGATTGTCAAAGAACAAATTCAAATGCTAAACATAATGACTCAGTTTCACAGTGTTTCGAAAACAATAATTAGAATATTTAACCACGACGAACAATTCACAATTATTATTTCTGATAAGAAAATTGAATCATTTTTGGCATTTTTTGAATATTTGTGAAGAATTTCAAACAAGTGAATTTCCACCGAAAGTATGAGGCTGGAAATAACTAAGTCAAGAAAGAGTAACACATGGTAATCCAAAAAACTGATTTAAAATCGGACAAGAAAGGAACACGAGTAAGTTTCTCAGATTGAACTACCACGGTTTGTTGAAAATTCATTCACTTTCTAAAAGATATAGTACTCCCCCTAAAAAATAGCATAACCTTTTGATTTATCATGTCATGTGATGTGAATATTCTGAATAAGAACACACATGCCATTCCTGCAAAACGAATTAGAAAGATTTTGGTACCGAAACTTTATTGGGTCCTCGGAGGTTAGTCTTAACTTTGAAGTTAGAAATTGGGAATCAGGTATACTGTAAATACCATACCATTTATTCACATACCTCTGATTTACAAAATCTTTTATTCCACATGTTGAAGATCGCAACTTCTCTTGGCTCAGATTGATTAGCTTATTGATAGACCTGGCAAAATAAAGCAAATCAATCCTAGAAACAAATGACTTTGTATCAACTACAGGAGATTTATGTGACTTGTTTCCAACACAATCATCTGTATTTGATTTTCTTCTCCAAACCATTTTCACCTTTATAGAATGATTATTTGAATCAACAATGGAATCATTGGGAGACAGATTAAAATGATGAGTTTGATATCTTGAAAAACTATTTGATTTAGAGCATCTGTTAGAATAACTGTTTGATTTGACATTAGAAGAATAGTTATTCTTACAGACACTGCTTGGAGAGAAAAGATCAATTTTATGAACTGAACTTGAAGCTGTTTTTTATGAGAAAACAAAATCAGTATTAGTTGAATCATTATATGATGAAAGAACAATAGTATCTGGACTAATCTGTTTAGAAGATTCAACCTTTTCTGCAATTATCTGCTTAGTTTTGAAAATCACATCTTAAAGTTCTTTAACTTTGTCAGATAAAGCATTCCTTTCTCCAAAGTTCAAATCATATTTCTTTGAAAAATCAGATCTCATATTTTGCTAAGCTACAAGATCTATTTCTATAGATAATTTCTTTGAAAGTTTACAAATTTCTTCTTTCAAAAACATTCCTTTCATTTTCAAAATCTTTTTCTAAACTCTTCCTTTTTTTAGGTAACTCTTTGAAAACACTAGCACCCTTTTTCGTAAAAACTTTCTTTTCACTCTCAAAACCTTTTTTCTCTTTTTCTGAAGATCATAAATTTTCATGTAAGCTCCAAACTTTTCTTCTCAAACTTACTTCTTTCCATTATAACAAACTTTTCAAAATCAGAAATTTGTTTTAAAAGCTTCAAAGTTGTCATCTCACAAGATTTAATTTTGCTTTCAAAACCTTTTCTTTCTTTCTCAAAATCCTTCTCACTATCAGATTTCTTTTTTTTAGACTCAAAATGTTTTTCTCTAAAATACTCTTCTTGTCAAACAAAGATTTTTCTAAATCAGTTGTTTCCTTTTCAGAGCTTTTCTCAAAATAAGAAATCTTTTCTTTTAGATCAAGATTCTCTTTTTTCAAAACATTATTTTCTTTCTCCAAATCGTTTACTTTCTTTTCTGAAACAACAAAATCTTCCTGAAGATAAGTTTTCTCCAATAACAGCTTCTGAATAACCTTCATGTTGTTGGTCTGTCTTGATTCATAACCTGCAATATTGTCATTCAAGTTAGAAATATGTTTTTGTAAATCATATATTGAAGAAGACATTGTTACCTGATTAAAATGATCGTTAATCAAAATGATTATCGAAATATTTGAAAACCCCAAAATGAACAGTGTCCCCTACTGCAACTTAGCACAGGAGGTCTCGCTACCAAGTTAGCGGGTGGGGTTAAGGGGAAACGCATGGGGCAGCGCCCCGAGAAAAAAATTCAAAAACATATATGTTGCACATGTCTAGTCAAGTTATGAAAGTCAACTATCGCATGAAGTCAACTATCACAGAACCTTGGTCAACCATCGCACACAACATGAATGGACGGTAACTATATCGCAGAAGCTTTGTGCGATATACTTAACTATCGTAGATAGTGTCATGCGATATACTCAACTATCGCAGATAACTATGCGATAAACTCCAACTATCACAGGATTTTATGCAATATACTCCAACTATCGTAGACTCTTTGTGCGATAGATCCAACTATCGTAGATAACTTGTGCCATATAAACTAACTATCGCAAGCCACTGGTGTGCGATATACTCAACTATCGCACACAACTATGCAATAGATATTCATAGTCAATCCTTGCGATAAACTTGAATCTTGATCAAATTGAACCTAAAATCACAAAAACTCAACAAATCATGATTAGAATATGATTATGAAGCTCAAAAATGATGCATAAACACAATTAATGAAGGTTCTAATCATAGATTTGAATCAAATAACAAGAATTTGATCAATTCGAAAAACCAAAAATCATCAAAAATTTCAAATTATATGATAAAAATTCACAGGAATGATCTATGATGTGTTTCAAATAGATCTGTATGAAAAGATTAAACAAAATTCATCAAAACCATCAAAATCAAGATCAAGACTGTAAGTTTTTCAAGAAACTTGAAAAACTTCAAAATTTTGCTCAAATTTTCTTCAAATCAAATTGAATTTGCTCTGATACTAATTGTTAAATCTAGTTTCAATCAAATAACAATAAATAAACAATAAGAATAACAATGTAGAGATCAAATCATCATGTATATTGATAAACTCTCTCAATACATGTTTCTTTCTCTGGAATGTTACAGTATGAGTTCTTACAAACAACTAAACTACCAAGAACTATTTATATGATTGATTAATTACAATGTCAAACTACAAAGTAAACTACAACTAAGCTCTAATTATAAAGTTGACCTTTTACTAATGTTGACAACTTTGATGTTCTTTACTCATGTTGACTTTCACTTTGACTCCTTTCTTCAACGTAATCTTTATAATTGGTGATCTCGGATACAATAATATTTTATCTAACAGCACCCTAGCCTCTATCACTCTCTCCCTTAGTTTCATGGTGTCGATAAGTACTTTAGATTGTAATACGCAACTTTGTGCGTCGCCTTTATTCTTATACTTCGGCACCACTACACCAAGCCTCCACTCTTCACGCATCTTGGCCGTCTCCGGGATGATGTTGAAAAGCTCCGTCAGCCACTGCATCCTTGCCTTCCCCAGGCACTGCCACACCTAAATGGGGATCTGGTCAGGTCCTATGCCCTTATCCTTCCCCATCTTCTTTAGGCCCCCTTCACTTCTCGTTGCTAATTCTTTGGCAAAAGCTGTAATTGCGTGGCAATTGTTGTCTCCTACCCCCTTGCCTTGTTAAATAATGTATCTCGTTAAATAACGTATGAAAATAGATACCCGGTCTCTCCTTGCTATAATCTCCATTAATACTATAATCTCAATTTTCTGCTCGATTTCTAGTCATTGGGATCCCCATCAATCTTTCAAACTGACATGGTCACCTTCACTACGGCTTGAAGTTTAACAACGTTACATTGTTTTTGGTTCTTTTGTGATAAAACTTCTCACCGACTTTTTGTCTCGACTTCTCCATTGCAGGTATTTGTGGGGTTTTGGTCTTTGTTTGAAAGAGTAGACAGTAACTGTAATGACTGTAATTGTCTAATATTTATAGAATTGGCTATTTGGATGCCAAAATAAGCGATAACCACGTTTGATAATTTCACATTGATTGTAATCTAATGGTCAAGCTGTACCATTGAGCATCTACTCTATGTAAGTGAGGTGAGATAAGAGAAGGGTGAATTTAGTAAGTCCTTTTGACTGGATATGAATGTGGCATTGTGATTTTTGTGGTCAAGTGAAAGTACTGCATAGCGTCAATAACATTTAGAAGCCACAGCATATTCATATGAAAATTGGATTACTGAAAGAAAAATATAATGAATAATAATGTGACATGTTAATGTCGTTGCAGTTTGCTTATTCAGTTACTATCTACATTTCTTTTCATGTTTCTCTCGATAAAGTGTTGTATACACTGCATATATGTATAAAGTTGGATGCTTACTCTAGACTTTAATTTTTGATAGATTGGTCCTTTGAGATGTTGGCCTGGTGGCTTATGCTTGTCACGATCGATTGGAGATCTGGATGTTGGGGAGTTCATCGTTCCTGTTCCTTATGTTAAACAAGTGAAGGTCAGTTATTCATGTTAGTGTGCTACTATGATATGATATAACGTTAAGTTTCTTCTAACAAGCTGATGCCTTCTGCAAGCTAATTTAAACTGTTCTTTTATCATTCTCTACTTGATCACATTAACCGCCTACATATTGGTTTTCATGCAGTTGCTCAGCTGCGATACTCTTTTTGTGTCAAAAGAATTCCATTACAAGATTTATTGTGACTGTGGCTTGACATACACATTACAAATGATACTTGCTTTTCCAGAGATTTTGTTAACTGTTGTTTTTATGTTCTGTTCAAATTCTTATTGGGTTTGGTTCTTTTGGACTTGTCCATGATTTCAACCTTCATTCTGTTTCACGTTAAAGGCTACAATACTTGATGAAAACACTAGCATGAATTGTCTCGTTGAATATTTTAGTAATTAGTATATATCCTTGTAAAGGACTCTCATCAGGCCCTTGTCATCAGGCCATTTTACAAACTTAGTTTTCTCCAACTGTTATTGTTTGAATCATTCCATTGCTCAAGCCGAACCAATACTCCCCTCCCTTAACATTTCTGATCTTTGACTGACCACATAGTTTAATACAAGTTTTTGACTATTAGTCAAATGACACTTTAATAATGACAAAATAGGCATGGGATGAATGGGTAATATCAATTCTTTTTTGTAGATATGACGACGGAACATATGTAATTTAGCTTGAGAAGTAGTAAAAAAGGAGACTATGCAATCAATGAGGCATGTCATAATGGAAATATGTTGCAACTAGTATGCTAAAGCTGGAGTCAATGGTTAATGCATTGTACTTACAGCTTCAAGTTTTTTAAGCTTTCTGATTTGAGTCTCTTAAGTTTTGCATTAAATTTGGCTCCCTTGGACATAGTTTATTTTCATCTGAGGATGATATGGTTGTCACAATTTGAAGATGACTAAATATTCTGTGATCTGTAACCTGCAGCTGTCCTCTGCTGGTGGAAGGATGATTATTGCAAGTGACGGTGTTTGGGATGCCATGTCTGCAGAAGCAGCTCTAGTTTGCTGTCGTGGACTGCTACCAGATGCAGCGGCTGCACAAATTGTTAAAGTATGGGCAGTCATATTGTTTACGTAATTAATGTTCGGACTCCTTTGAACATCTGTTTTTACTCCTTTTATTCATGTTAATAGGAAGCCGTACAGTTCAAAGGATTACGGGATGATACAACCTGCATTGTGGTTGATATACTCCCTCCAGAGAAGACAAACCCTCACGTGTCTCCTGTGAAGAAGACTGGTAAGCGGGTATTGAAGTCCATGTTTAGGAGAAAGAGTTCAGGGTCACCTCCTCAAGTTGATGGAGGAGAACTGGAGCAAGATGTGGTTGAGGAGCTGATAGAGGAAGGATCAGCTTTGCTTTCAGAAAGGTTTGTGAATCACTTCCATTATTGGATATTTGAATCTGTGCACACTACAACAAAATCAGCTTTATTGGATGTCAAATATGTCTAAATAAATGTCCTAATAGACTGCTTTATATGACCAAACAATTGTACATCCTATGTGACACTTGGGCGTCCTAACAAGTTTTTAGGACATTTAAAATAAAGCGTCTTATTAATCTTTTTTTACATGACATTATTTTAAACATGTCTTATAAAAAAGTGTCCTATAAAAAATGTGTTCCATTAGGACACTTCTCAAAAGTGTCTTAAACAAAGTTAATAGGAAACTTACTTTCAAAAAGTGTTGTAAAAAACGTATTAGGATGCTCAAAAGCGTCATATGCAACAATTTTACATGAGACACAAAATTGTTTAATCCTATGAACTTAAGTTCATAAGCAGTCTATTAGGGTATTTAGACATTTTTTATGTCCTATAGGGCCAATTTGTTGTAGTGGCAGGAGCTGTACTTGGGTTCCCTCTGGTTTTGCATTTCTAACAGTTGATATTTCTCATCTCGTTTCAGGTTAGATAGCAAATACCCGCTTTGTAACTTGTTCAAACTGTTCACTTGTGCCGTGTGTCAAAAAGAAATGAAGCCCGGGGAGGGTATTTCAATACATTCAGGATCGTATAATAACGTGAAACCAAGGCCATGGGATGGTCCTTTTCTGTGCGTAACCTGCCATGAAAAGAGAGAGGCCATGGAAGGGAAATGACCGTCTAGTGGTATCTCATACTTGCTTTTTCTTTTACCATTTTGTTTGTCCCAGAAAGTTTACACGAGAACCATAATTATTTTGAGTGAACCAACTATTTTATGAGTTATTCCTGATGAATTACCCTATTCATCATAAGTATCATGATTTTCTTTATTCATGAATAGTTGGTTCTCAAATGGTTTTCATTTGAACCTGCCCGTTGTTTATGCTATACATCCTTCTTGTTGTTAATAAGCAATCATATTTGTCGTGCAGGCTATACAGTAGTGAAAAAGTGAATAGCAAATCCTTGTGGGTTACAGTTACACCCTACATGTGAAGACCGAAAAGGTTGATTTCAAGATAAGTTCCTCCTAAAAGCTTCGACGATTCTTTTTCTAATTCTTTCATGTGTTCAAGTCGGGTACCTTAATCCTCCTATAGTTAGAATCTTTGTCTAACTCCATGTTCATATAACAAGCAAACCTACCTTTCTTTACCCAGAAATGTGCTAAGTTACATAAAGATCCTTTCTTGTAAAGAAGAAAGTCGGTTTAAGATTCTTGGAATTTAATTTATTATAGTTTTCGCGATTCTTGTGTTACTAGACTTGAATTGATCATGTAATTTTGCTTCTTTCATCTGCTTTGTACATCAGTGAAATGATTTGCTATAATATTTTGTAATATTCACTCTAAATTGAGATACTTTAGTTGTATCTTGGATGTAGTAAAAGACTATCCTACCCTCCTTGAGTCTACTGTTTGCTTGAAAGATCTTTGACTTTTGAAAGATTTAGATCCCCATTCAGCCATTCTCTAGTCATTGTACTGGGAAGATTTGACTACATGGGGGTGTTGATTGTGTTTTGTATGCTTGTAACTGGCATGTTCTGTCATTCTTGGCTCTTATCTCTTTATTCTTCAATCTCCCTCTTTGAGAAACTTTCAAACTCAAAACGGCCAAATACGATGCATGTTTTCATCCAATTAAACGAGTCGAGACTTTCTGTATTGGATTTGATCATTCTAACACCGGATTTTTGCACTCAATTTAACACCATAGGAAGCATTCATTGCCAAAGTTGGAAACTGTATATCACATTCAAATTGGGGGTGTAGATAATAAATTGGATACAAGGTTTTTGATAAGGGGCGAGTTAAATGTACAGCTACCTGCTAATTTATTTTTAAGGGTTCAAATGAGAACTAGACAACATCCTTTTACTATAGACAATTACATGTGATACGATTATTTCATTATCTATGATACACATGTAATAATAAATCAAAGACCCGGAATACTTTTGGGGGCCAAGTTGCTGTTATACCATTAAGCCCCCTCACATGTATTATCACATGTGATAAATGTGTTATTGATGTGATATTATAATTCGTCAAGACCATTACATGTGATACTAAATTATAGACCTTTGGAGCGGCCTAAGTCACAGGACAAACATCCGCACACCACCAGGTCCATCACGTGTATTAACACATGTGATAAGGGTGTTCTCGTTTGACCTCCACCTATGTGTGTGTGTGTGTGTGTGTATGTGTATATATCCAATTATCACGACTTAATTTTGACTTGATTTCAATATAAACCGACAAAACCCTTTTGACAAAAGTGAAAAGTATAAGTTCCATATTTGTAAAGAACTTAAACGTGACAACGGGTACATGATAATATGATATGATGATAATGCTGCAGTTGTAAGAACCAACCAGACCGACCTAGTAGATAAATCAAAAATAAAGAAACAAAAAGGGCAATTGGAGCATATAGAATTATTAAGCAGTCAAAGTAGACAATTGTTGTTTGCCTTTTGTGGTAAGTACACTGTATCTAAAATCCTTGGAGACAAACATTCTCTCTACATTATTTCCAGTTATCTCCTACTGGATACCATGTCTATGTGTAGCAAACAGATATTTTCAGTTCTTAAGTCATTAATAAAGAAATAGTTCTCGAGGCTCATCCGTCAGTTCTAGTATTTTCAGGACCATTGAAGATTTTTCTAACATGCGTCTTTAATTAAGGCTTCATGGGATCATCCGAAAGTGATCCGGTCACCCACGGTTAACAAGAAAACGGGTATTTTTAAATGATCATAAGCTTGGTATTTCATACAAGAAAAAGGGTTTGAAGCGATGTAATGAGTTTGTCCATCGGTTTTGATTATTTGATATACAACACGACTTCGATAAAAATAAAAACCGACATGATAGAATCCAAACCCGATGAAAAAATTGTGTCGGTTTCTATGGCAAGGGAGAGAGAGAGAGAGAGAAAGAAAGAGTATGAAGAAAGGAAAGTAGCAAACAAAACTGAACTATCATTCCACAAGGTAAGGCAAGGGCAAAGATGATGATGACTTTGATTGAAGAAACTTTTCTCCTTTATACTTTGGCCAATAACCACTCAAATTCTTTTATTGCTTATATATATATATATATAGAGAGAGAGAGAGAGAGAGAGAGAGAGAGAGAGAGAGTGTGTTTGTTTCAAATGCAACTCATTGTATTTATACAACTAATGCAACTCAATAAATTAAAATATTTATAGAAATAATGAAAGTTCATTTATTATGATTTAAATATTTATGGAAGATGAATACGATTCATTAATTATGATCAATACTTTATATTAGAAAACAATCATAATTTCTATGAAATTACATATTCATCAAATTAAATGAACGGTTGAGATTAAGTTGTATTGGTTCTATAAATGTAAGGAGTTGTATAATAACCCACCTATATATATATATATATATATATATATATATATATATATATATATAAAGTTGATGAATGTGTTATGGGGTCATGAAAGAAGCTAACATGATTTGCCTAGTAAAGACAAACCATTTCACCTTACTTTTCATCTCCTTTCCCTTTCCTTACATCATGTCTACTTGTATCCTTATATACCTTCCTGCAATACACACCCATTTTTCCTCACTTTACACGTGTAACCTTCTCATTTGATGTTGCTCCATCATCCTCTACATACACACATATACATACATACATACATACATACATACATACATACATACATACATAAGTATGTACGTACCTATCGTTTTTAATAATTTTGATGCAATTATAACAAAAACAATCCTCTTACACTTACCAAAGGGCCTTTGCCTAGCGGTATCGTAGCCCTTGGCCTTCTAGGAGGTCAGGGGTTCAAACTTCACCATAGGTGAGGAGGGTGTGTGAGTTTATTTGTTGCATTTGCCGTATATAAATTTTATATACTTCAAAAAAAGAAATGGATCTAGGATACGGGTCGCTTTTGTCTCTTCTTTTGCTTCAATCCGAAACCATGAAT